AATCCCTCCAAAAGTTTCGAATGTCTCTTTCCATTATCACGCTTTTCTTTCCTATCTGAAATGGTATCGATTGGCTTCGAACCAGTCATCCGGGTATACTGTACTAAATTCCTGGGCGTCTGTTATGATTCTTATCTTCATCTGACCTCTAATCATTAAGCTTCGACGACTTTCTTTTCATAGTCGTAAACTTCGTCAGTTTCGTATTCAACAATCGATTATTTCCAAATTCATGTATCATTATGCTTTCCTCACTTGATTTTTTGTTCACTTGTTGTTCTCTCTGATTTCCTAAAGAAAGATTTTAAACTGCTTCGACGTGGACTGAACATCATTAGCCGTGTCTCTTCAATCCTGCTAGGGGAGTTGGTAGCTAACTTGTGCGTACGTCATTTGAATTCATGTGAAACGTTTGCACATATCCGCTACACGCTGATTTAACTTCCTGTTGTTCCCGTCCCTCAACTATATCATAAAACCGTTGTGTTCCCTCTCCAATAAACATGCATCGTAACTCTACAGTACCCTCATCAGCACGTATTCTAGTCAACAAAGAACAGGTTTTCACAGACTTTGTTAACAGTTTGGGGAGTTAAAACTTTTTTTAATTTTTTAATTTATATTTCTTCTCCCACCCTCAAACTTGTATATTTTTAACTGAAATATAGGTTTTATGCCTACAGAAGTTATTGCAATACAACACAATGATGATGCTAATTCTAGACGCCTGATTTATTTTCTAAATAACACCTCTCTGCGTTCATATTCAAAGAAAGGCTGGAGATCGCTGGGCTTACAAGCTGTGCACGCCTCCTCAACAGTTGCGTACATCTGACTTTGTTGCACTATGCGAGGCACGATGGATGCCAAGATTTTCCGAAAAAGGTTTACTAATGCAGCCCACATAATAGAACACACACTAGTACAAAATCGTAAGATAGAGAAATTAACATTTCCGCATGTTTGTTTGGTCAAAACCTAATACAACCAACTTACACTTCTGAAGTACATGAGCTATACAGTGGTTGAGAAGATCAAACGTCCTTGAGGAAATATGTTTAAGAATACCGCGTACACAAGCAATTGCAGGCCCATTCTAACAATTGGGTCTCATTTTCCAGGTCTATTTAACCGAGACTCTTTTTATGTTTCGGTTGCCGGAGACATTATTCGAGCGAGCGAGCGAGCTGGATCGATTGCGTCTTAGACAGTAAGACTAATCTATTTGGTCACGCAAATCATTATTAAGAAAGGACATCTTTTTGCCAGAGAATGTGAATATAGCTAAACGAGGCGATGATTGACAATCTCTTCAGCCTCGGTCCAACTCACTATCTGATTTTGAGACCACTCGGATTATTCCCGGTTTAGCCAATTGTGAAGGAAATGGACATCACAGACTGAAATGAGTATTGTGTGATGGAGTTTATTAGTTGTGAGAACTTATATAAACAAATTCAATTGTTTGGTATACTCCAGTGGTTAGGTCCGATTGACGATCAGCTAGCTAGCTGCCTGTGGTTGTAACATTTAAAACTTATGTCCCTGTTTGAGGAATTTGGGAACAGTACGACGGTATACAATCCAACCTATTTGTTGTGGCAAATCAATTCATCCCCGACCTACATAAATCAATCGACTGTAATCAACCCCAGATTAAATCCCTATGTCAAGATATTCATCTCAACCGTTCCCGCACTCGGTATTCTTCTCAATCTGTTCACCGGTATTGTACTCACTCATGTGAATGTCAATTCTCAACTGTCCAGAATGATCCTATACTATGAGACAATTTTTGACGGATTAGTCTGTATCATCACCCTGGTAGCAATTCTTGTATTTCACGTGCCTAGCAGCACGAATGCGTTTATTTGTATCGGCATGCATGGCGGATTGCTTATTCGATTTGCACGACTTTTGGACGTGTGTAATATGATCACCATGACATTGGATCGGTTCTGGGCAATTGTCTATCCGAGCACGTATCGGAAAAATATGCAAAAGTATATGATATTCTGCGGTATATTTCCTTATGTGTATGCTTCACTGGCCTGTCTGCCCGTACTCTATCGTGTTCGATTTCAAAATCACTCGTGCATACTCGTGCAAGGGGATATTTATAGTTATTTGCTTGAAATAATTCAAATTCTTGTGCGCTATGTCGGTCCGATCGGTCTCATTGTTGTGCTCAGTGTGTTGATTGTACGGGAATTGCGAGTAGCACATCATCGCCACGAGCTGATTAACCGAATGGGTCATTGTGTCCGTGTGGGAGAACACGTGACCAGAACTGTTTCCATTGGTCAATTGTCCAATTGTTGTGTCCTCTCACTCGAGAAAGCTCTCCTACTCAGTTCGTTTCTATTCACTGTCGAACTGACGGCAACCGAGATCATCTCGATTGTTCTTTTCATTTTTGATAGTTCCACTATAATCAGTCAAGCCTATCTGATTCGGTTCCAGTTGAGTTATCGAGTATTTTTAGGCTTCTGTGCTGCCCTCAATCCCCTGTTGATCATTCTACCATTGAAGACCGTACGTGACACTATTCGGAATCTGGGTAGCCGAATCCAAAGACTGTGTATCTGTGTGCAATGTTGTGATGTTCATCCCTCAGATCCGATAGTCGACATTCCGTCCACCAGTTCACAATAACGATTCAAACTGCCCGGCACAACATATCAACATTCACATCTTTCTGATATCTTTACAAAATATTTAACGCATATCGATCGACGAAACACTTTCATAGCATGCCCGCCCCATGTGAATGTTTGTTTTCACCAACATACAAAAAGGAATGAATGGAATGAATAACTTAATTTGTGTGGATACGCTCTGACCACTGTGTAATCGTTGAATTTTGACGGTGTCCTCAGATGAAGAGTAAAACCGTAGTAATATCCATACCATGTGTTATGGAGTCAATACTTGTATTCAATCGTTACTTTTCATGTTGTAACATGAATAAATCATTGGAGGAAGTGAACACTAACGATCATTAGTCTTGCATAAGAGAGGGACGTTTACGTGCTTTAAAAAGGAAAAGAAAAGGGCAGAAAGACAATAGTGGAGAAGAAAATTGTGAATTTGTGACGCAATTCTCTAGCTACATGATCATCGTTGCTCTAATTTCATCATCTTGGTGACAGCGGAATAAGATGTCTTGTGCATGTGGGGTTACGTTAACTATGCAAACGAACAGCAGGGTCGATAATTTGACAGTCAGTGAAAGGTTCATTGTGATTCGGTAGACACTGAGAGAAAAACCCCTATCGAGTTTATTGTGTGATGAACGGGGATCGAAAGCATTTACAAATTCGTTACAAAACAGCTGGACCTATATAATCCTGTTGTCATCCTTCTAGTCTTTACCCTCGAATTTTCGAATCATGTGCGAAAATTCTTGAAATTGATTAAAAGGTATTGCCATGACTACAGTACCACCGGGTTTACCCTTCGCTTTAATTATTTGGTTTGTATATGGAATCATGCATCGTCGTCATCACCATTGTACAGCAAAATACAGTGAGGCAAACTTCACTGATTGCTGCCAAACTCGCAATGCATACAAGATTAGTGGTAAAAATTTAAGGTGGACAGGGATTGGACCTATTTTGAGGGAGGGGAACGACTGTGAACTTCTATGGTCAACACACAGAGAGTGCACAATCGAGCTCTGCATATATACCGCTTCAAGCGTTCTGATCTGATAAGAAACGACAACAACAACGCCACCATTGTCGGTCCGCTGCCATATCCTTCAATGTCTCCAACCAGCCGGTTTTAGAGTCTTTCGAGCCCCATCCTGGAAGGCGCGAAACACCTACTCTACCTAATGGTACTGTGCATTTCTTCATACCTCGTCTCCACGTCATCTCTTGGCCTCCACGTTGTTTCCTGCAGCCCGGAGTGGCTACAGCAAATAAGGCGCGATGTGGTAGATGGTAGCTGGGCCTACGCAATAAGTGTCCCAGCCAGCGAAGCTTACTAATCTGAATTCGGTGTGCTAGTATGTTTATCCCTGATAAACTCCGAAACACACGAAGACTTACCTCCAGATTACTAACCCGTTCACTGCATCTCACGTTGGTTAAACTACGTAAACACCGATAATCGAAATTTTCTAGTCGATGGGTATCTTCTACTCGCAAATTCAAGGTCTCACAACCATGAAGCAGAACCGAACGAACTATATATACAATCTTTAAACTTCAGTGAAACATCGCGTCATGACCAAAGGTGTTTCAGTCCTGTGTACGCTTTCGAGCTTTGGAAATGCAGGCGGTTATCTCTTTTGCTGCACTACCCCAATTGGTCACAGAATTACCTAATTAGGAAGCATACGCCAGTAAATCAAAGTTATGTATTTCGGTGTTCCAGAAACTGACGAAAATGTCCGCACCCAAGTATTCACCCACGAATTCTATGGAAATGAATGAAAAACAAAAGCTGGACTGGATTTTATGTAGTGTGCCATGGTGTAGTGTGGCCATGGTTCTCAAATTCAGAATGGTAACATTTGTGTTTTCGAAACTCAATAGAGCAAGCAGTTGATCCGACGTAACTCTGTTCACCGAGTGCATAAAATCGATTAGTTGGCGTTACTTCCCATTAAAACTAAGATTTCGTCAAACAACTGGGGTGAGGAGAATTGTTAAAGTATAAATTAAAAATAGTTTACACCAACACGTCATTTGCAGGTGATATTATGACAGAAATTTATTGATAACGATTGCGATTGCTCAAGTGTTGCAAGCAGCCAAATTGCATGTCCCGTTCGCATCCAGACCGGCCCTCAGGTTACAACTCAGGGACAAAGTTCCTCGTGTATCTGTGACCTCTTTCTGTGTTCACTTCTTCACTTGTTCCGGTGGAACAACGTATATCGCACCTTCACGATCAGTTACTTGACTCAGACAGTACGTGAGCATCATCCGGCTTGGTTGTTCAATTGGGGTGACAATGACGAGCGCCATCTGTTCACACCTTGTCGAATCAGGTAATTTAGTTGACTTGACCGGGGGCTATCACCCTCTCTACCAGGTTTGTGAACAACAATAAGCTGAGCGGATTATTTATTTGACTTCTGAGATCATGTTTGCCGATCTTAGACCATAAATAATCCATCTCTCCCCTGCTTGGGTGTCGTGTTCTTACGTAGGACTGACTGACTTGTATTCACGATTTTGCCACATACTTCTGATGTCTTCTTTCAAGAACTTTTGTTGGAGTAACCAATAGGTTTAAATGGAAGTCACATGTTACACGTATGGCTAGTTTATACATTGGTGGATGTGTTGGCTGTCTTTCGGATCCTGCACAGGAAGCTCTGTGTTCCTGGTGTTGTGATACTTCTTATCCATGACATTTTTGTAAGTGGGCGCTCGGGAACAGTCGCTGATAAAATATGTTACTTGAGAAGTCTGTTTAAATTCGTTTCACGAAGAGAACCAGAAAATGTAGTTTCAACAGGTTTCAACGGATGTCTTCTGTTTCATCTGTTGGGTGTAATGCATTTAATAGTGTTCCTGTGATACACATCTTCGTTTTCTCAGAGCTGCTTCAAGGCCAGAAAACTAAACTAAAGCGTTTACGAATGATGAAATGCAAATCACGAAAAATTAGGATTCTCCACAAAAATTGTATTAACACGAAACAAATGCATATTGGCAAAAAAAGAATGGGGTAATAGACCTAATTTTGCTTTACTCCAAAATTTACAAAAATACACTCCTTGATCGAACTCATGCAACACCACTGACGTCGATCAGACCCCATTTATCCCAAATGTCTAATCGTTTTGAGTCTCATTCACAGTAATGGATATTTTATTACCCCCGCACGGGGCAAATGTTATATGTTATATATGATGAATTCGTCGTGTACTTAGTGGATAGTATGCTTGCTTTCTACTTGTGAAATGCCGGGTTCGATCCCCAATTGGGTCGATGGAACCGCACTGCTGATGTGACCAAAGCAGGTAGAAACAGCTGTCCAGCGCTTCCCAGTTCTTCAGCTTATGCCTCACTTACAGGACGAATTCATCATACAAACAAATCAAGTCGTCCAGTATTATCGTGCAATATATATATATATAATATAAAAATAAAAGACCATATTGCAATACTGCACGAATTATGTCCAGGATGATTTCACTACATCTCAACATAGTTCATACTGCAGAAAATACAATGTTTATACAGGGCTTTAGCATAGCAACAAAGTAAAATGAAATACAATAAAAACAGACAAAACATAAAAGAGGGAGGGGTAAAAGGACCATATCACCAGAGTGGGGAGATACTAACATAAAATTCTTTTTGATGACACAGT